TTGGAGGTGTCTGTGGACAACGCTCTTCGGCTTAGAAATGGAGATAAGCGCCAATCCCCAGAGTCGGACACGACTGGATTTAATGTCAGGGGTAACCCTTTATTTTAGATGGGGTATCATATAATCCAATTCAAAGTAGATAATCTGGATTATATGGCAGTGTAGAAGAGGCCGAAGTATGGTTTTTTTTTTTATTAGTGTAGACAAGCCCTGCTCCGGCTGTCTCTTTACAACACTGACGAAGAGCTGAGACTCCCTTGCATCATAACGAAAATGTTTCTAGGATTGGGCACAACGGTTCTGTGAATGCATTTCACAGCCATATGCTTCTTTAAAATAATGAATTAATTGCAACAGCCACTACATACACAAATCCGTCGGGGGAGGCCAAAGTCCCTGTTGTGTCTGCCAACAACTGACTTTCCATGGTTCCAGAGTTGCCGTTGCGGAAACTGTTCACACATTTGAGCAGTGTTTGCAAATAGACAAATGGTATGACAATTTTAGTGCATCTCTGTCTAGGGTTTCAAGCTGTTTGACTGGCTTCAGAAGCTACACCATTTTCATATATGCTGAACTTGACAAGAAGCAAAAAAAAAAGCCCTCAGCTTTGAATTTATTTTACGATAAAAGTAGGATATAGATATTTATTTATTTACCATGTCAGGAGCAAACACAAACAGTTGTATTACATTAAAAACAAACATACAAACATACAAAACACAATTTTTGCAGACTTGGTATTCTATTAAATGTCCTTTGACCAGAAGCTGGCCACTTGGAGTTCCTCTGGTGTTGCTGCAAGAAGGTCCTCCGTTGTGCATGTGGCAGGGCTCAGGTTGCATTGCAGTAGGTGATTTGTGGTTTGCTCTTCTCCACACTTGCATGTTGTGGATTCCACTTTGTGGCCCCATTTCTTAAGGTTGGCTCTGTATCTCGTGGTGCCAGAGCGCAGTCTGTTCAGCGCCTTCCAAGTCGCCCAGTCCTCTGTGTGCCCAGGGGGGAGTCTCTCATTTGGTATCAGCCATTGATTGAGGTTCTGGGTTTGAGCCTACCACTTTTGGACTCTTGCTTGCTGAGGTGTTCCAGCGAGTGTCTCTGTAGATCTTAGAAAACTATTTCTTGATTTAACTTGTTGGCGTGCTGGCTGATACTCAAACAGGGGGTGGGCCGGAGATGTCAATGCCTTGGTCCTTTCACTATTGGTTGCTACTCCCCGGCGGATGCAATACCAGCTAAACAGTGTAATTTCTCCAGTGGTGTAGGGCGCAGACACCCCATTAAGAGCCACATCCACTGTTTTAGCATGGTGAGATGTGTTCCACACTGGGCATGCATACTCAGCAGCAGAGTAGCATAGCACAAGGGCAGATGTCTTCACTGTGTCTGGTTTTGATCCCCAGGTTGTGCCAGTCAGCTTTCATATGATATTGTTTCTAGCACCCACTTTTTGCTTGATATTCAGGCAGTGCCTCTTGTAGGTCAGAGCACAGTCCAGGGTAACTCCCAGGTATTTGTGTGTGCTGCAATGCTCCAGTGGGATTCCAGAAGCAACCAGAAGGATATAGATGAAACAAATGAAGAGCTCACCCTTCCATCTCCAACCCATCAGAGACATCTCAAATAGTGGCCATATCCTTTCCTTTCCAGGATGCTGTCTTAGCAAACTGGCAACAAGCAACATTTTCAGCCTCATACACCTCTTGCAAAAGAGCATTTTTTTATTTTTTTTGCATTTGGAGGTGCATCCACATTATAGAAGTAATGCATTAATTAATACCATGTCTTGATGCTATGGAATCATGGGAGTTATACTATTATAGGATCATTAGTCTTCTTTGATGGTGACTCGCAAACTCCCAACATTCTGTAGCTTTGAGGTATGAAAGTTAATGTGGTGTCAAACTGCATTAATTTGGTAGTACAGATGTACCCAAGGATACAAAGGTGCATTTTGACATTTATGCATTGTCACACTAAGACATTTTCACATTGAGTTCTGAACCTGTTGTATTCCAGAGCAGGAAATGTTGAAGCTGTTTGCAATGTATAATGTAGATTTCAAAGTACGATATGTATGTATGTATGTATGTATGTATGTATGTATGTTTAAAATGCAGTAGCTATGTGCCGAGTGTAATGTATTCTTGTGTGGAAAGAGTTAACTGAACCATGGAGGTCATCAATCAAGTGTATAGAACAAATGGATGCAGCATTGTGTGTCATACGTCACTCTGGAATTCAAGAGGTGTGGACTAGTACTGATAACAGTTCATGTGTTCGCAATGTTATGATCGGACGGTAAAGAAGCAAGTTTACAATGTGCTGAGTGTTAAGTAGCTTCTAATGTATATAGCTGTAAAATAAAGTAGTTTATAGCCTAAGGTAGCTATGATTGATCTGTTCCTGCCTTGCTGTGCTGCCGATGCCACTGTCAGGAAACACCTCTGTACTTAACCACCACATTCCAGTCCAATGTAAATCAGCAAAACAGTTTATTGAAGAAAATATTATTTATTTATTTATTTATTTATTTATTACTGTACTTGTATACCGCTGTTTCTCAGCCTAACTGGCGACTCAATGCGGTTTACAACAAAATACAACAATCAACAGTATTCAGTTTAAAACCATAAAAACATCATACACCATACACAATATTGGCCCATCAATAACAATCCAATGCATCTCCTGACTAAAATCGTGATCCAGTTTCGTCGTCCATATTACCAATCCTTTAATCATCAAATTCAATTGCACCGAATTAACCAAATGCCTGTTCGAACATCCAGGTCTTCAATCTTTTTCGAAACACCATCAGCGAGGGGGCTGATCTTACCTCCATGGGAAGGGCGTTCCAAAGCCGAGGGGCCACCACAGAAAAGGCCCTGTCTCTCGTCCCCGCCAGCCGCACCTGTGAAGCAGGCGGGATAGAGAGCAGGGCCTCCCCAGAAGATCTTAGGGTCCTGGTGGGCTGATAGGCCGAGATACGTTCGGATAGGTAGGTTGGGCCAGAACTGTTTGGGGCTTTAAAGGCCAACGCCAGCACTTTGAATTGAGCCCAGCAAATCGGCAGCCAGTGGAGCTGGTGCAGCAGAGGAGTTGTATGCTCCCTGCGCTCCGCTCCTGTTAGTATCATGGCTGCCACCCGTTGGACTAATTGGAGCTTCCGAGCCATCTTCAAAGGCAACCCCACGTAGAGAGCGTTGCAGTAGTCTAGACGGGATGTAACCAGAGCATGGACTACCGTGGCCAAGTCAGACTTCCCAAGGTACGGGCCGTTCAGCAAAAATAGTAGAAACGTCTAAGCCTAAATGTATGAAATAATCCACAAGATTCAAAGTTATAGAGTTGTATCAAAAACTAGGAATGCAAAAGAATCAGGAAACACAAGGCAGCATAAAATTCAGTACACAAAATTCGGGAACAATCCTTTAAACTTGGAAGCATGGAGGATGAAAAACTGGAAACAAGAAACTATAATTCCCTTAGCAGGTTTGATTAGGACTTGGCAAAATGGAGTGTGTGCCGTGGTAGGCTGTTGCCTCAAACTCCAAAATTGATTAGACTCCTGAAAAGTCCCTTTAGTCTCTCTAATAAAGCCATGAAATCACATTGTCAATCTGAGGGTCAAATTAGGCAAAATTTCCATTATTATGGAATCATTTTTCATTCTTGGTATAATTGGAAATGCGCTGAAATCTTTTTGCTAAAAACATTCGAGAATTTGCAAACATGATAGAAAAGAAGGCTTTGTTGATACTTGCTCCCTGATTGTGAAGGTTAGAAATCTGGTGGTCCTTCCACCTGTAAACAGAGGCATCAGGGTGTTTTGTGTAGCTTGCTGTCGACCTTTGCAGCCCGAAAGACAGTTGCATTTGTCAAGTAGGAAGTTTAGGTACCACTTATGTGAGAGGCTAATCTAACTAATTTACGAGGCCATAAAAATCTCCAGCAAGCATGCAAAGAGCGAGGAAGTACTTCATCATCACAAATGGATGGTGAAGTGACAGCTCCCCTGGTGGCCAGAATACCCTCATGAAAAGCGGGAATGTTAAATAGCCTCTGTGTGTCTGTCTATATATGTTGTGTGTCTATGGCATTGAATGTTTTCCATGTATATGTACATTGTAATCTGCCCTGAGTCCCCTGCGGGGTGAGAAGGGTGGAATATAAATACTGTAAATAAATAAATAAAATTAAATTATCAATCCAAGTAACCTTTTGAGTGAATGTTCAACAAGGACAGGGGAGTTTTCTATTACATTTTAGATCATTTTAAATGTAATCGTGTTTGATTTGGAACTTGCTTCATGCTTTAATTATATAGTTATTCAATTTTACCATAAGTCACCTTGAATCTTAACTATGGAGGTAGAAGGTGGCATAAGTAAGTAAGCAAGTAAGGCATAAAATGCCAGTAAATAAGTAAACTTGATGAAAGTGGAGAGTTTTTGATTAAAACAAGAAAAAGAAAATAACAGAACACCAGCAAGTTTTGAATAAATCCCACTTCCAATGGCCCCAGAGCAATGTCATGGGAATGCCCGTGATACTGGACAATCGAGGTGGGCCCTTTCTTCTTGCTGCTCCATGGGTGACTTTAAAGCAAAAAGCACCTATGTTTGGACATTCCTAGTTCGATGTTTCATATTTCTGCTGCAGTTTAAAGAACTAATTTTTTTCTCCTCCCCAACAGACTTCCAGGCTTTTTTTAAAAGGCAAAAGGGAAACCAGTCACCCCATCTCTGTACACGCCGCATTGCAAAATCAGAGTTTTGTTTTTAATGGCTCTTGCAAAACCTTTCTTCAAACTAAATGCAGTTTGTCAGTTTCCTTCCCCTTAGAAGGAACAACCTGCTGACTTGTGTTGTTTCTGTGACCCTTTTTTCTCTCTCTCTTGCAGATAAGATAGTTTTAGTCATGTCAGAGAACTCTTTTTCTTCTTCCTCCTTCTCCTCTCAAACATCACTTCTTTCTCTTTCTCTTCCTTCTTGCAGAGGGCAGGAGACACCATCGCTGGAGATTCAGAAAGGTAATTTTCAAAAGTATTTCTCATCTTTTTGTCTCCTTTTTAAAAAAACTTTTGCTAACTTTGCTTGAGATGTTTTGTCCTTTGGAAATAATGTCTTTGTGGAAACTGTGAAGAGTTTGCCACATCACACACAGGATACAACTAGCAAACTTTAAAACATTTCTGAGCCGTATCATCTGTTCATTGCATAGGAAAGAGATGATGATACAAACAAAATCTCAGTGCAATTAATATTTTAAACATATAACAAATAAAATAACAAAAAAACAAATAAAATAAAAAATAAACATATATGTGTGTTTAAAATATTTATTTTAATATTTTATATATAATGTGTGTGTTTAATATATATATATACACACACACTCCAGCTACAGTTCAGTCTTCCAAAAAAACACATCTCTTTTCAGATGGTTGGATTTAAATCCAAAACTGCATTTAGGGACAGAGCTGTATTTAGAGATCTATCAAAAGCAAATGGAACGTAAAATTGCATTGATTTCTGTAAGTCTCTTCCTAGGAGGATTAAGCCTGGATCCAACCCAAAGATGCTGAGTTGGATCCAGGCCTAGCTAGTTGGACTAGAATCCTTATGAAATCAGACATTAAACCAGGATTTAACTCAACTCACATTAGAAACGGAAATGAAGTGCCACTCATTTACTTTCTATGCAACCCATTTCCTTCCTAAATATTTAATATTCTTCTCCTTCCATGATGAGTTATAGGGTGGGTTTTTTCAGGTTTTCAGGAGAGAAGCTCACTATTGACTATGATGGCTAGGGCTGATGGAAATATAGCTTTATGATATTTGGAAGGCTACAAATATTTTTTCTGCACAGAAAAATAAAGTTTTCTGTCGAAGAAGCACACATTATTTTCACAGAATACATCCTGAATTGTGTATAGTCGGCCCTCCACTTTCACTGGATATTAGTGGCACAGAACCCTCACAAAAGTGCCAGTCTGCAAATAAGATAAGGAGGGGGTTAACATTAGAGAACACCTCTACGAATCTCTAGGTTCACCAGCATAGAATCAACTTTCTGCAGGATCTAGAATTCCTAAAGATGTGTACTTGCTCGGAATCTGTAGACCAGGGGTCCTCAAACTAAGGCCCGAGGGCCGGATACGGCCCTCGAAGGTCATTTACCCAGCCCTCGCTCAGGGTCAACCTAAGTCTGAAATGACTTGAAAGCATACAACAACAACAACAACAACAACAACAACAACAACAATGTTATCTCATCAGCCAAAAGCAGGCCCACACTTCCCATTGAAATACTAATAAGTTTATATTTGTTAAAGTTGTTCTTCATTTTAAGTATTGTATTGTTTTTAAGTGTCTTTTACACTACAAATAAGATATTTTCAGTGTGCATAGGAATTCATTCATGCTTTTCTCAAATTATAATCCGGCCAACAGTTTGAGGGGCTGTGACCTGGCCCTCTGTGTAAAAAGTTTGAGGACCCCTGCTCTAGACCCTCTAGCACAGTGGTTCTCAACCTGGGGTCCCCAGATGTTTTTGGCCTTCAACTCCCAGAAATCTTAACAGTTGGTAAACTGACTGGGATTTCTGGGACTTGTAGGCCAAAAACATCTGGGGACCCCAGATTGAGAACCACTGCTCTAGCACAAGCATGAGCAAACTTTGGCCCTACAGGTGTTTTGGACTTCAACTCCCATAGTTCCTAACAGCCAGGAGATTGCTAGGAATTGTGGGAGTTTAAGTCCAAAACACCTGGAGGGCTGAAGTTTGCCCAGGCCTGCTCTAGCATGATTCTATGACCAACTTCTACATAAGTTGACAATATAATCACAATGGAGGATCTAGAGATTCTTAGAGAGAACATTTTAATCCAATCCATGAATAATCAAATCTGCAGAAGTCAAATCCACAAATGTGGAGGGCTGATATAGTCTTTTGAAACTGTCGAGCTTTGGCTGACATTTTTTTTGTTCTTGCCTAAAAAGAGGTGCATCCCCCATAGTGTGGTCCCATGCCTATTATAGTTTTATTCTGTTGTAGATTACTTTGGAATGGCTGCTATAGACTCAAGAAGGTCCTGTCCCTCTCTCTGCCTCCTCAGTGTCATCCCTGAAATCTTAAAGCCTGGGATGTTCTCAACCAACTCCTTAAACCTCCCAACCTTTGCGTATTCTTGGTGGACAAAGCTATGGGTTCACACAGTTGGTTCCTTACCCTTAAACTACTCCTTAGCCTTTGGTCCACTGTAGAACCTTCTCCCTTCACCTCTACTGAATTTCAATTCAGCTACCAGTTCTCTTGATGTGTTGTCGAAGGTTTTCATGGCCAAAATCACTGGGTTGCTGTGAATTTTCCGGACTGTATGGCCATGTTCCAAAAGCATTTTTCTCCTGTCATTTCACCCACATCTATGGCTGGCATCCACAGAGGTTGTGAGGTCTGTTAGAAACTAGGCAAGTGGGGTTTATATATCCGTGGAATGTCCAGGATGGGCGAAAGAGCTCTTGTTTGTTGGAGGCACGTGTGAATGTCACGATTGGCCAACTTGATTAATAGGCTTGGTTCAAAACTCGTTTCAGATGTAGGGGGCACTGGTGGTTTGATTCTAAAGTCAATTCCGATTTTCACAGAAAAAAAATGTTCAAAACTTTTCAAAACTTTCGAGACTTCCGAATCCTTTCGTTAATGGTTTGAAAGTGTTATTTCCAGTTTCATTGGGTGATCTTTACTTTGAAAGTAGTTGTTTTACTCCAGAAGCGAGGAAAAGCAAGCGGAGGAAATTCCTTCCTTCTCTGGTTCAAAACTGGCTTCTCTGGCTTTAAAACTGGCTTCTCTGGCTTGTGCAGAGGCCAGGAAATTCCTTCCTTATCTGGTTCAAAACTGGCTTCTCTGGCTTTAAAACTGGCTTCTCTGGCTTGAGCAGAGGCCAGGAAATTCCTTCCTTCTCTGGTTTAAAACTGGCTTCTCTGGCTTGAGCCGAGGCCAGGAAATTCCTTCCTTTTCTAGTTTAAAATTTTCTTCTCTGGCTTGAGCCAAGGCCAGGAAATTCCTTCCTTCTCTGGTTTAAAACTGGCTTCTCTGGCTTGAGCCGAGGCCAGGAAATTCCTTCCTTCTCTGGTTTAAAACTGGCTTCTCTGGCTTGAGCCGAGGCCAGGAAATTCCTTCCTTCTCTGGTTTAAAACTGGCTTCTCTGGCTTGAGCTGAGGCCAGGAAATTCCTTCCTTCTCTGGTTTAAAACTGGCTTCTCTGGCTTGAGCCGAGGCCAGGAAATTCCTTCCTTCTCTGGTTTAAAACTGGCTTCTCTGGCTTGAGCCGAGGCCAGGAAATTCCTTCCTTCTCTGGTTTAAAACTGGCTTCTCTGGCTTGAGCCGAGGCCAGGAAATTCCTTCCTTCTCTGGTTTAAAACTGGCTTCTCTGGCTTGAGCCGAGGCCAGGAAATTCCTTCCTTCTCTGGTTTAAAACTGGCTTCTCTGGCTTGAGCCGAGGCCAGGAAATTCCTTCCTTCTCTGGTTTAAAACTGGCTTCTCTGGCTTGAGCCGAGGCCAGGAAATTCCTTCCTTCTCTGGTTTAAAACTGGCTTCTCTGGCTTGAGCCGAGGCCAGGAAATTCCTTCCTTCTCTGGTTTAAAACTGGCTTCTCTAGCTTGAGCCGAGGCCAGGAAATTCCTTCCTTCTCTGGTTTAAAACTGGCTTCTCTGGCTTGAGCCGAGGCCAGGAAATTCCTTCCTTCTCTGGTTTAAAACTGGTTTCTCTGGCTTGAGCGAGGCCAGGAAATTCCTTCCTTCTCTGGTTTAAAACTGGCTTCTCTAGCTTGAGCCGAGGCCAGGAAATTCCTTCCTTCTCTGGTTTAAAACTGGCTTCTCTAGCTTGAGCCGAGGCCAGGAAATTCCTTCCTTCTCTGGTTTAAAACTGGCTTCTCTGGCTTGAGCCGAGGCCAGGAAATTCCTTCCTTCTCTGGTTTAAAACTGGCTTCTCTAGCTTGAGCCGAGGCCAGGAAATTCCTTCCTTCTCTGGTTTAAAACTGGCTTCTCTAGCTTGAGCCGCGGCCAGGAAATTCCTTCCTTCTCTGGTTTAAAACTGGTTTCTCTGGCTTGAGCGGAGGCCAGGAAATTCCTTCCTTCTCTGGTTTAAAACTGGCTTCTCTAGCTTGAGCCGAGGCCAGGAAATTCCTTCGTTCTCTGGTTTAAAACTGACTTCTCTGGCTTGAGCCGAGGCCAGGAAATTCCTTCCTTCTCTGGTTTAAAACTGGCTTCTCTGGCTTGAGCTGAGACCAGGGACCAGAAGCAGGGAAAGGCTGAATCATTTCCAACTCACTTCATGAGTCGTAACAAAAATGGCGGAAAAAGCTTTGGAAGGGCAAAGAGACTTTCTGTTCTCTTTAAAAAAATTCAAAATTGCTTCAAAAAGGTAAATTTTTGACTGCATACCAAATTATGAAGATTCCGATGGTACCTAACCATGCCTATTGATTAGCATTGAACAGCCTTGCAGCTTCAAGTTATCTTGATGTTTAAACATAGAATAGGGAAAATGCTATCTTCTCCTTTGCCTCAAGCTACGAAATCATTTGAGACAGCTCTGATCCCTCAGTATTCTTGACTGTACTGAATTCTACTTTTCTGCCTCTTGTAGAAACAATATCTCCACAATTCTGGCAGTCCTGCAAAGGTTAAGTGTTAACAAGTTAAACGTGGGTTGCGCCTTTCTCCATATTTGCATCCCCGAAGAAGCACGTAACCTTGTTTTATCTAGTGCTGAAAAAGATTTCATCTACGGCCCACGTTCCATCTTTGCACGATGCATACAGTGAGAAGGGAGGTCGATGCCTTTCAACGCCGGCTTGCCCTTCGGAGAGCTTTGCCTTGCCACTTCTTTTAAATGGGTGGTGCAGTCAATCATAGATCCATTAAGGCAGAAAGAAAAACATTTGGTATCGAGCGCTGGGGGCCTTATGTTCCTTCTTATGCTCAATGTCAAAAGTTGAAAAACCAAACTGTAGGCTGAGATGGAT